TGCACAAACTAAGTTGAAAATTACTAAATCTTAATACTTTGGTATGTATAAAAATAATAAATTTATTTTATATGTAAACAATAATAATTTTATTTATATTTTTAAATAGATAAATATCATGATTAACAGGCTAATAAAATTAATTATTTTTTATTTATATAATAAATAATATTTTTTGAATGCTTGTGATATAACTGTTTAATATAGTTAATGCAATGTGAATCAATGAATAAATGTTATTTCAATTTAGATCAATGAATTTTCTTAGTCATTTATCTCTTTTGATTTTTTTTTTTTTTAAAGAGAGGTCTATCCTCTATCTCTTTTATTTAATAGTTAAATATATATATAAAGATATATGAAGAAAAAACTATACTAGGGAAGATGGAAGTAAGAGCTACTTTACTCTCGATTCATTCTTTGCTAGAATAGTTGTTAGACTTTTAGTCTTTGATAAGAGAGCTAAGGGAAGACTGTTCATGTGTTATGTATTAGTAAATCTTATTATGTATGAAAGTATGTATAAGTAGTTCAGTTTTATGCATCACAAGAGGTTGTAGTAGAGGGGCAGTGGGAAAATAGAATTGTGTTGTATTGTTCTAGATATGAGCTAGATTTTTTTGTATATCGCAGCAACAATATTATGATAGATCAAGGTGCGTATTTGTTTTTATTCTTATTTTTCTCAAAGGGTGCTAGGGTTTCTTTAGTGATTAGCCCAAGAGGTATTTTTTTGTTCATGTAAAAGCTGGTGAAAGTCTGAATAAAGGTGTCCAAGTGGGAGTGAGGTATTTCTATTTTTTGTGAGGTTTTTTGTACTGCTTGTGTGATTAGAGTTATAAGATGTAGGTTGTTTCAAATATACGTTAGAAGATGTGTAATGTCTTCAGGGCTATTAAAACATCTTAGGCAGCAATAGTCCAGATACTTTGTAGTGTTTCTCCAATAAAGCAGAAGGTAGATGGGTAGTTCTTTTAAAAGCAATTTGATATTGAAGTTTTTTATTGCTGAAGAGAATAGATCAGTATTTAAAAAGCTAATAGTCTTTCACTATAGGTGATATATTATAATGTCTGTATCCAGTTGATGTTCTCTTGGAATGCATGCTAGTTTGCAATTTGTTGTTGGTTGAACTATACAAGTTGATTATTAATTTGATATACTTGTTTTAGTATAGTTTTTAGCAGATAGATATAGGAGCTATCAAGAAGCTTTGAAATGAAATAGTTGTGTAAAAACTGCTATGACGCAGAGTTTAGTGAAAAGATAGTATTTGTAGTTTTTTGGATTTTGATACCTTTGTTGAAAGTAGTTGTAATTTTTCAGTCATAGGTTAGTGTTTTCAGTATTAAGAGCAGGTATGCATATTGTTGTTTATCTAATATGGGATAGTTGTATAGCAGAACCGAGTGTGTAAAGTTAATCAGGTTGGTAAAGGAGAGGTTATTTGTGTAGATCTTGATAGAGGTCTGTGGGTTTGTTGTTATAAGTATGAAGTTCAATAAAGTAAATAGTATATGTATATATGAAGGCTAGTATAATAGCCAAAAAAAGTATAGCTATATTGAAAGTAGTACTTTGCCACAATATACTGATTGTTTTCTATTATCTGGTGGGTGTTTGTTATGGTAAGTATTAGAGTTTTTGCATTAAAATTGATTTTTGTCAGTGTATTCCAGAGCAAGATAGGAGGATTTGTAAAGACACAAAGAGGTCTAACCAAGATTAGAAGTATTTCTAAATTACAGACGGGAATATATAGACAGAGCTAAGAGCTAATGCTTTTTTAAAGTCATTTAGGTCGATGTGGATCTTCTTTCCGCAATCTATTTTTAGATTATATAGAGACTTTGTTGCATTAAAGTAGTAGTATTTAGAGTAATAATAATGATTTTTGAGATTACAGCCTGACAAGCAATTAGTATATTATCCAGTTGTAGGATATAATATCAAGTTTTAAGCATTTCTTTGCTAAGTTGTGTATTCTTCTGATAACTAGTTTGTTTGTAATTATCTAGCCCTTTTTGTTGTAGATCTAATTAATTAGAATATAAGGGTTTAGTCTTAAGGTACTGATAAGAAATTTGTAGAACCTGCTATTAGATCTTGGATTATATGAAACCAACGTGGGCATTAGCCTCTGGGTATTTTTTTGATATTGTGGTGAAAGTTATTCCACTCTAGGAGTTCAGTATTAGTTGCATTTAAGAATTGTTCAATACTGAAGATATTGTGGTTGTTTAGTTTTTCTTTAAAATATGAAGCTCTGGGGTCAGTATTATCATCTGGCTACTTGGCTAGCCAATAGCTATAGCTAATAGCTGCAGCTATTGGCTAAAACAGACAATAAATTTTTTTGACCAATTTGGCTAAAAATATATATTACTTATAAATTACAAATTGGGTCTATTGATGATTATATAAATCAATATACAAGTTGATTAAACTATTTGCATCTTTATTTGTTACTGTTACTACTCCTAATCATCAGACATGATTTTATTTAAATAAGCCACCAGTAAATAAATATTTAAGATATCACTATGGCAAACTTAACTTAGGAAAAATTGATATTACATACTAATTTACATAAGCACTACTATGAAAAAATCTATTATAGCACTTTCAAGAATATTAATCATATATTTGATTCAATACATAATATTACAAGTTTCAGGAGTTAAGTTTGTCAAACTTAAATATTTACTTATAGTACTTAAAAATATTTTATTGCTTCTCAGACTTTTATAAAATTGCTCTTTTTATTTTAAAAAAATTTTTTAGTTTTTTTTATCGCTTTACCAAATCTAATTTAATCTTATATATATATTTAAAAATAAACTTAAATAGATTTGAAAAGTATTATATGAAAGATACAGCATGTAGAAGAATTTGTCTGCATACATCATTATTAATACACTTCTTATTGCTTATTAAACTTACAATAAATATTTAGATTATTAAGAATGAAATAATATAAAGTAAAATTTGACAAAAAAAAAATTTTGTTAAAGCACAAAAGTCAGTTTGTTATATAAGTTTTTTGAGATATGAACAATTTTAAAAACAACTAATTTTTTTTACGTTATTCTTGATTGTATTATATTATACTTGATTGCAATTTAATCATTAGTCAATTAACACATGTACAGACAAGTCTTCTTGCATCCTGATATAGTTAGTAAGATATATTTGTATTGTAAAATATAATTTATTAATTTTATTATATATAACTATATATCAGCTAAATTTATATTTATTTAGAAGTTAAACTCTAAACACATATTACATATAAAATATTTATTTACTATTAAAAGGTGTTTTCAAATCATCAACAAAAATTTCGCAAATCTTCTACTTTGCTTCTATATCTATTGTGGGATATGATTAAGTATATAAATAATTATCCATATCTATATCCATATTGTAATTCAAATCAATACTTTCATCCTCTCGTGCTTTATTTTCTTGATCTAATAAATTTTTTTACTCATTAATAAAACTATTGAAATTCATAACATACTTATTCATATCAATTTCATCCTCTAATTCTTCTAATTCTTTATTCAAATTTTCTTCAAGCATTTGTACTTTATTATTAGAAGAAGCTATATCTACAGACTCATTATCTAAATTATGCAATTAGTTGAAACTTGTATTATCAAGTTGATATTGGTAGTTGATTGAAACTCAAAGCTTACTCATTTTTAATACCTTTAAAAACTACAGTATATTGTAAACTTATAAATTAAATCAAATTATTTTATAAATAATAATAACAATATACTTACTTGCAATTGACACTGTCTATTA